ACCCCCTGCAACCTTCAGGAGGTCCTGACAGGGCCCTATGGCGAGGGCGCAGACGTCTGGTCCGCGGGGGCCATGCTATACGTGCTGCTCTCAGGTACGAGCCGGGGGGCCGGAAGCTGGGCTTGCCGCAAAGGCCGCACGGCTGCCAGCCCCCGCCGCGGCGGCCGCTGGTGGGGGCACTTGACACCGCGCGCCGCAGCGCTCACGCGGCCCCTGCAAAGCCGGGCGGTGTCGGTCCTCCCTGCGCCGTCGCAGCTCTTTGCTCAGTCCCCCCGCTCCACAGCGGCGGCCGCAGGCGGGATGCTTGGCGCTGCGCCCTGCAGCTAAACCCTAAAACCTCGCGGCTCTCGAGGGCCGGCCCGTCCTCCCTGTTGCCGCTGCTGTCGCTGCCTTGTTTTCTCCCGGCTCGGCTCCGCAGCCACCACGCCACACATCACATGCCATCTGCACGCCTCGCGCCCGTCCTCGCCGGACGTTGCGCGGGCCGCTCCGGCGGGTGCTGCAGAGCGGAAGCGGCCCCCCTCTCATCCGCGCCGCAACCCCCAACCCCTGTGAATCAGCAGGTCGGCCGCCGTTCTTTGCTGTCCGCGACGAGGACGTGTTCAAGAAGATCCTGGAAGACGGGGTGCCGCCCATGTGGGTCCGGCTGTAGATCTTGTGATGCGCCAGATCAGGCAGATCACACAGATCACACGGACCACAACGCTGAGGCAGATCACACAGATCACACGGACCACAACGATGAGACAGATCAGACAGATCAGACAGGAGTGCGGCCCTGGGATTCGGTTCCTCCAGGGGTGGCGTCGCCAGGAGGCGCCGCTCGTGTTGCGTGGGGTGCGGCGAGGCGCCCGCGCCCTTGTCGATCCACGGCTGTTTGGCTGGAGTCCAAGGACGCGCCTCGCGGTCCCCCTTGCAGGCACGAAGACCCGTGGCCGTCCATCAGCGCCCCCGCCAAGGTGCGAAGTCACGAGGCACGCGGCCCCCACGCCTGGACCGTCGCATTTCAAAAACCCACGCAGCCGACGTGGCAACAAAATCGGCCCTGCTGCGCTCCTGCCCTCGCCCCTCCCGCTCGTCAATGACACCACCAACCAACACACGAACACTTGCTCCCAGCCAAATCAAGCGTCCTTTGACAAGCCAACCGTTTGGCGTGCCGTGCATGTCTGTCTCCAGTCTGCATCCAAAACCTCCCGTTCTTCACCCCCCACCCCTCAAAGCTCTGAAGACTCAAATCGGATTCTCCCCCCTTCAATAAGCGCAAATTTGCTCTCCCTCCCACCCCAAAATGACATAATGATAATCCCAGGAGGCGGTCAACATGATGATGACGTACGACGCGTCCATCCGTCCGTCTGCGCGCGACATGCTGGCCCACGCGTGGGTGAGGGAGGGCGGCCTCGCGGAAGACACCAAGCTGCAGCCAGAGGTGGGGATGGCGCAGGGGCGGGATTTTCGCCCCCTTTGATGCTTTGGGTGGAATCAAGGGGCCTTGTTTGGGTTGAGGCAGCAGAGTTCAGGGCGTCTTCATTGGGCTCTTCCTGAGGTGTGCGGTGACACTTGTTTGGTGGGGCCGGGCCGGCTGAGCGCTCGCGTGCGGCGGGATCGCGCGGGTTAGCGATGGTGACCAGCAGGCGCACTGTTGGAGCAGCTGCTGCCGCTGGCCTGGCGGCGCAGGGGGCCAATGGTGGTGCGCGGCAGCCACGTGCGCGCTCAGCGGCCTGATGACTGCGGTTTCCTTGCGGCGGAGGCAGACCCTGCTGCCCACTCGACAAGCCCTTCCACTAACACCTCAGGACGCGTTCAGCGCGGTGGATCCAGACCTCTCTGCAACTCACGGCTGAAGCGGCTGCACGCGAATTGATCCCACTTTCAGTCAAGGCCACCTCGACAGCAACGCTGCCGCACCAAATGCCAACGATGATGTCATCCTGACACCCGCCGCCCCCCTCCCCCGCCGCGCCGCACCAGGTGTTGCACCGCCTCAGGGGCTACGCTTCGATGAACGAGTTCAAGCGGCAGGCCGCCATGGTGGGGGGCGGGAGCGCGCCACACGCGCCGCGCGCGCCGCGCAAGCCGCGCCGCCCGCCTTGGCGGCAGGAGGGCGGGCCTGCGGCGGACTTCAGGCGATGCCCCGGGCGTGCGCCGAGGGTTGCGGGGACTTTGTTTGGCGACGTCGCGGCCGCGCAGCAGCACGCACTGCATGCTGCCGGCGGTTGTTGTCCTGAGCTAACTCGCTGGGGTGTGCACTGACCAAGCATAAGCTTGCCCACCTTCCAAGCCCCTCAGCTGAAGCCGTCCCCTCGCCCTGGACCCTCTGGAGTGAAACCATTGCTTGCCTAAATCCCTCGTTTTCCTCGCATCCATCACCTACCGTTCGCCTCCCCCCCCCCCCGGGCCAGATCATCGCGACGCACCTGCCGTTTGACCAGATCAGGGGGTTGCAGGAGCTGTTCAAATCGATCTCGGACGACGACGGGACGATATCGCCCCCAGAGATGGCCCGGGTGCGCCAAGGCAGTCGAATCACAGTTGGCATGCAGAGGCAGGAGGGACTAGCAGGGGGAACTACATACCTCCCTCCTAGTAGGGGTCGTGGGAGCAGATTGTGCTCGTTGTGTTTTTCAACCAGCAGCGCGGGGTGCGGTGTGTGGTATGCGGTGTGCGCGCCCCCTTTTTTGCGTAACGCGTGCGTTGGGTCCCGCTTCAGCCCTGCCAGACAGCTCTGACGGTCAAACGGCCAGCACGGCGTCACGACGGATTTCTTACCTGCCGCCTGATCATGCGGGCGGCGCGACCCACCATCTGCCCGCCGCGTCTCTTGTTTTTGACAGGCCCTGGAACTGCGCGGCTGCAAGCTGCCGGCACAAGAGCTGGCCCACCTGATGGCCCTGGCGGTGGGCGGCTGCCTCCTGCAGGCGGCGCGCGGGCGGCGGGCGGGCACAGGGCGGGCATTGGGCAGGCAGAGGGCGGGCACAGGGCGGGCACAGGGCGGGCACAGGGCGGGCACAGGGCAAGCC